TCCTTTAGGTCCAGACCCAACTTGAGAGTGGACTTAGAGCCCCAACGGGGATACTATGTAAAGATATGATAACTGAGCCTAACTCAACCCCAAAAATAAGTTTATGAGGGGGAGGATTGTCCAAGTCCATATAAGTAGACCATCCGTCCATTCCCCAACCAATGTGAGATGCTACTCTAACACAATAAATCGAAAGTGGTATTTTTAGGGATAAAGGTGCAAAGGTGTGACAGGAAGCATATTGTTGAATTCATTCAAGTCTGTCTCTATTATGAATGCATGAACGCTTTGATCTGTTATGTGACTACTTTTTGCTCACATTAATACACTCATCACTTTCAATTTGACCCTTCTTGCCATGCCAGTTATGAACTGTGTGCATTTACTTGCTTAGTGGTCCTCTCCAGTTCAATCCTCGCTGGTTGCTACTGATGAGTTGCCAAATGAATTAAGGATTTCTTTTGACACTTTACACGTTAAATCCTAAGTTGCACGGACTCTTCACTTTCGATGCCGCACCCGTGTCGGATTCTCCAAAAATACACTACTTCTGGAGAATCCGACACGCACCCGTTGACATTTTTGAAGAGTCCGAGCAACATAGGTTAAATCAATAGGGGATCCTTGTAGCATGGTAAAGGTCTTCGTACACTCTATAGGTCACAAATTCAAGTCGTGGAAATCAGCTAGGTTGACTATATCACACTCCTTGAGGTACGGTCCTTCCCTGAATCCTGCGTGAATGTGGGATGTTTAGCTCACCGGGTTACTCTTTTATTTGCAGTCTACTTATTTTTCTGTTCCACTCCGTGGTCCTGGGAAAGTGCCATAAACGATGTTACCTACAAGTTGTTCCTTATAGTATTTATTCTTTGTCCCCTTATCCGCTGGCTTGACTGCTAGTTTCAAGTCATCGAAAGCGAGGGGTTTCTTTATCTTTTTGTCTTTTCTACTTAAATCCCAATGTGCCTATTTCATTTTAAGTTTGCACCTTTTTCTTTCCTCTTTAGTTACACGTCCTTAATAAGAAGCTCTTTATCTGAAAAATAGAATTATTTTTCGATGTGTTAGTTGGATTTCAAAGCATATCAATATGAATTTATATTAGTCAGGTTTCAAAGCATACTAGACAACACATCCTATCCTTATTTGTAGAATCATTTTTTTCAATGTGTTAGTTGGATTTCAAAGAATATCAATATGAATTTGTATTAGTCAGGTTCCAAAGCATACTAGAAAACACATCCTCGATAGAAAGCTCTTTACCTCAAAAGTAGAATCATTTTTCGAGACGTGTTAGTTGGATTCCAAAGCATATTTGAATTTGTATTAGTCAGACTCTAAAATATATCAGACATTGACATTGGGTTGGGAAATAAAAAGAAAAAAATTGTATTATGAGAAAAAATAATTATAAAATTAGTCAAATCATGACAACTACAAATTATATTAATAATAAAATAGTGTTATCCAATCACATGCGTTTAGACTTGTAATATCCATCTACAAAATACAATTAGCATTTTGTATATTTTTTTAATTAAATCTAGATAGGTGACTTCTTTTTGGGTGGGGTGGGGGGGGGGGGTTGAGGGTTGAGAGAGTACGTTAGTTGACAATGATTATAAGTAAGAACTTATTAGAAATAATAGATCCAAATCCAATTGGAATATATATGTGTAATTTCAACAGGTACTTGAAATAAATTAAGCATGCTAGATGAACAGAAAATTGTCTTCAACTAAGGTAGAATAGAAAATGAATATGTTGCTGAAACCAGTGGCAAGACAATTTTTCATTATTTTCAATTATTCCTTTTTTAAAAATTATATTTCTTTGACTCTTATGATTATTATGCATAATTGATATTGTTAATCTTTTAATAAATTGACTAAGTATTTCACTAAGTAAACCCCTAAAGTGAGGCAAGTCACGAATTTCCGTCAAGGGACAAAAAACATGAAATATAGTTTGCAGGATATGAAAGCTACTTCGATATTTTCATATCATTATTTTAATATCTAACATCCCAAAAATAAGGGAAGAAAAATGGTGACAATAAGAAATTACCGTTACAATAATAGTTGAAATAGCAGAAAAAATAGACATCGACAGATTCGAGATTTAAAATTTAATGGATTCTGAATGATCTCAATTTTGTAAGTGTCAATCGAACTTAAACTCTTATAGAGGAAGGCAATAAAGCTTAAAACATGTTTCATTTCTACTCTTGAACTAAGAGAGCTAATTTTGTTACGAAATTTTGAATAAATAATATTTATATATTTAATAAATTTCTCAATATAAATGTAAAATCTACACAAAAATTACGAATTCCCAAAAACTCGTATCCGATATCCTAGATCCTTTCATGTTAGGACAAATGAAAAAGAAAGTATACATCTGAAATTAAACTTCTATCTATTATGTTAGAAACCTCTCGATACCACTAAACTGAAAATGTTTGTAGTGAACCGTGTTGGTAAAATATTTTACTAAGGAATCGTTTGGTATGAGTGATAATTTCGGAATTAATTTAGGATGAGTTTATCTCATGTTTGAGTGCAGTTAAATCACATAACAACTTACTCTCGTTGTCTAACAATAGTTGTCCACTATTGACTTGATATATGGATTAAGAAGCTGTAAATGATAGGAGTAATCTTACCAAATCACCTTTATTAAATATAAGTGGTATAAACATTGAAAAATGAAAAGTATTTAATAGTAAAGGTAAAGTAGACACAACATGGTAAATTATTCATTGATTTTATAAACTATACAAGAATTGTTGAACATCCCAAAATAGTATAGTGGACAAGTAAAAATAAACCAAAGGAGCATTTTGAAATTGTTATATTATTTGTATCCCACATTAAAGATGAAATAATAATTAATTTTGAGATAACGTATTTCCCGACTAAACAAGCCCTAAAGAGTTAAAATTAGCATTCTTATGTGGTTTGTGAGCTATTGCATAGGAGCGGAGGTTTTATCATGTGTGCACCCAATGGATAGTGACTGCGAGTTTCCTTGTCATAAAAAAACAAAAAAAAAAAGAGTTAGAATTAGGATTTAATATAGGAGAATGGGGGAGAAGAAACATTTGAAAGAGTCATTACATGCAAAAGGGAAGTGAATCAAAGAAAAGCTTCCAACACTTGACACTAGGGGTGTACAAAACCGAATCGAAAACCGAATCAAACCGCAAATCTAGTTAATTCGAAAAAAAAACCCAACTAGTGATTTGGTTTGACTTGGTTTGGTTTTGAAAAAAAAATATCGACTATATTTGGGTTGGTTTGGTTTTAACTAAAAAAAAACAACCCGAGAGCAAACCAACCCGACATTATATATATAATTTTAAAATTTTATTTTATATATAAAAATATTTACTTTGATATAATTTTAAAATATTTCTTATACTTTTTCATAGTTTTTACTTTTAATATATTATTTCAAGTTTGAAACTTTGAATTATGAATGAGCCAATAAAGATTATAGTCCACAAATGTTGGTAATTATAATAAAGCTTAAATCAAAATCAAATTAATACTCATGCAAAAAGAAAATCAATTCAACACTAAGAATGACAATAATATTGAATATTTGTTCTTTAGTTTTACATTGATTTAGACAATTAAAATACATAATCTAATTTTAATTTCCTTTAATAATTAGTCATGTAACTAATACTTATTAAGCTTAATTTTAGCATGATTTAGTACTTTTAAATTATGATCATTTTCATTATGACTTGTCAATTTGCAATATTTGTTTTGCGCGATTTCATTATTATTATTTTTGTTGGATATTTTAGTGTCATTAATCATATCTTATTGTGTTATATTTTTAAGAAACATCTTAAATAGTTGTATTTTGATAGGACTAAAGAAATATTTGAAATACAAGTAAATTATATGTTTGTATGAATACTTTACCGAAAAATCCGAAAAACCAAAAAATCCGAAAAAATTCGAGGTTGAAAAATCATAATTTTATTGGTTTGGTTTGGTTTGATTTATAAATTTAAAAATTCAACACAAATAATTTGGTTTGATATTTAAAAAATTTGAACCAACCCGGCATGTACACCCTACTTGACACTCCACATACTTGTTTGGGACATTAAAGGCCAAATCCAGGAATCTATTTTTTTCTCTCTTTTACTTTCATAATTTTCTTGTTACTCAAATCATTTTACTCCTTTTTTACTACAAAACTCAGCACACTCCATCATCACACTTTAAAGAGTTGAATCATTATTATTTTTTTCTTTTTCCCTACATAATAAACCTTCAAAAATATTATTTTTTTGTGACCCATATTGTCTCCTTTGGTTGAGTAACAAAAGAAGGTTCCATTCTTTTCTTTCTTCTGCCTTACAGCTACTTGTTGTCCTTTCATGAATATTCATCGCACTTTCTTTTTTACTTTTTGTGACTATTCGAAAGTGTCTTCAAATTTTACTAATGATGAAAATAAGTGACGGATTCAGAATTTTTAATAAAATGGTTCAAAATTTGAAAAAATAAACACGAACTAATCAAAAAGAATTCGACATTTACTATATATATAAAAATTAATTTTAATCATATATAAATAATAATATTTTTCTATGGAAGGAGGTTTGGATGAACCCTGACAATAGGTCGACTCCGACCGATTTAAATTGAATTACACCAAATCCATTAAAAAAAGTGGTGTATTTATTGATCAATAAAAATAGGACACAATAAAAACTTGTCCCTTTCCAAAGAAGAAAAATCATGTTTCATTAATCCTCTTTTCCTTTAAAATTTTCTAAATTGTTCAGACTCTTTAAAAATATTATCATATTCATGTCAGATCTTAAAAGATACACTATATTTGAAAGATCCGCACCACGCGCTCAATAACAGTTTTGAAGAGTCTAAACAAAGACGGGGCTCACCAACTACATCATCATAGAAAATTACACATCAAGAAAAAGTAATAAACCCCAAGGAAATCCTAAAAGGAAAAAAGATTAATAGAGAGAGAGGAAGATTAAATTAAATAAAAACCAACAAAAGATACAACCAACAACTACAGATTTTTTTCCCCTACTTGTAATTCTTTTTTTTTTCCTTCTAATTTTTATTTTTTAAAATTTTATCTATGGCTGCAGAAATCCAAAAGTTTCTTCCTTCCTTCGACAATTTCATCAAAAAAATCATCTAATTGTCCAATAATATTCTCAGTACCATTTTTCAAAACCCCAAAATACCCTTTCAAATTCTCAACTCTTTCTCTTATAATCCCATTTTCACATTTGTTCTCCAATTCTCCTCTAAGTTCATCCATGGCTGCTTTTGATCTCCTAAATTCATACAACAAAATCGATTGCCTCCCTGAATTCATCTGATTAATCTGAGAACCAATTCGTTGTTGTAATCTTGAGGTTGAGATCATGAAATTTGAACCAAAGAACAAACACCCTGTTTCTGATCTTGAAAAATCAGATGAAGATGATTCAGCCCAGCAATAGACTAATCCATGAAGCAAAATCATTAGCAAGACTGAACTAACATTTCTCATTGCATAAAGTACTCCTCTGAATCCATTAAATCCATTTAGCTTTGATTCTACTGAAACAATTTCATCAAATCTTAATGAAAGTGGCTCAATTCTTGTTTCCATTAATGCTCTGTTTTCTTCCTCTAATCCAATTGCTTCTCTTCTACACCCTGTTATTGCTCTAATCACCTGTTTTGTAAATCAAAAAAACCATGGAAAATGGTCACTTAACGAATACTAATTATTATCTCAGAAAGTTAAATCAGACATAATAACTACTCCTATTAGTTAAAGTAACCATACTAGAAATCAATACTAGAAAAATATGTTGATTTCTCAAATGGAAAGTTACTTTTTTCGAATTTTAAGTTTTAAGTGATTTTCTGAGATAATAACTATTAATTAACTGATATGAGAAATCAACTCCTAAACAAAAAGTGTTAGATTTCTCAAATGGCTATTTAACTCAGAAAATTACTTTTCTCAAATTTTAAGTGACTTTCTGAGATAATAACTATCAATTAACTACTGACGATACGAGAAATCAACTCCTAAACAAAAAGGGTTGATTTCTCAAATAGTCATGTAACTCAGAAAGTTACTTTTTCGAATTTTAAGTGATTTTTTGAGATAATAATTGTTCGTTAATTGACGATTTGAAAAATCAACTCTTAAAAAAAAGTCTTGATTTCTCAAATTGTTAATTTGATTGAATTTCAAGTGATTTTTTGAAATAATAACTATTAATTAAATGACGATACGAGAAATCAACTCCACTTAAAAGAGAAAGGGAAATGAAATTTATACTCCACCTGTCTTGATAATTGTGGGGTAAGATGTTGATGATTATCAAGAGACGAAATGACATTAAAACCAGAAGAATAGTAATTCTCCAATCCAGAAATGCCAGTCTTAAGAACATGACAAACTTCCCAAAGCTTAGAACTTTCATCCATATATTCATCAAGCCACTTTTCACCAACAGGCAAATGAAGTTTTTGAACAAGAAGTGTTAATTGTGTGTGAAAAGATCTTAAAAGGGAAAGTACCCTTTGAAGGAATTGAATAGACATGAAGTTATTAGAGAGAAAAACTCTTTCAAGATCATCAATACCTCTTGTTAAAAAAGTGTAGAAACCATTAACAGAGTTTGTAGAAGAAGGATCCATTTTTTAATTTAAAACTTTGAGAGAAAGAGGGGAGAAAAAAAGTTAACAAAAGAGTTATATTTATATTGTTGAAGAATGGAAAAAGAAAGAGAATGTTTCTTAGAAGCTTATGTTTCTAAGGTAAAAAAAAAAAATTGTTGGGAGCAATGATGAGTGTTTCCTTTAGAGGGGAAATGATGATTCTTAATCTGCCATTTTCAATGTTTAATGGGCAGAAAGGAAGCTAAAGAGAAAAAAAAGAAAAAAAAAACTTTATTTTATGTCAAGAAATAATAATAATAATTTTTTCTATTAAAACAAACAAAGTGTGATAGAATGAAATAAGGGGAAAAAAACTTTACATGAAACTATCATGAACTTATTTAGCTCTGTTCCAATTTCTTCCTTTTCCTCCCCTTCTTTTGTGCTCTTTATTATCTTAATTTTAAAAAAAAAAAAAAAAAAACTCTCTATGGATAGTATAGGTATAATAATATAAACAATAGTAATATGTTTATGGGGTAGGGGGTAGAGAGGAAAGGGTGGGAGCTAGCCTTAGTGGTTTGTCTTTAATCTTTGATTTAAACTATATTATATTTGTCCATTTACATAAAATAATCAACTATAATAAGAGTTCAAGTAATATCTATTGGTGAAGAAAAAGAAAATTTAAAGTACAAGGAATTCATAATAAAACTTGCTTGGCTTAGAGACACATTAATACTGTTTTTTGGAGATAATTGGAGTTTCGCTCACGAGCAAGCGAACGAAAAAATAACAATTTTATCTTCGGGATTTAATTAAGCCACAAAATTAGTAGCATTCCAGAATGTTGCTCTTCTATTCTTGAATTGGTGATTTCACCTTTTGACTCACAAATATTTTTTCAAGGAAAAATAGTTTGTTTTTTTTTTGTAGTGGTCGTCTTTCAACTAAAAGAAACTCTATTTATAGTACAAAAAGTTTTAAAAGAGAAGATCTTTAATTAAATTATATTTATTATGGATTCATGAATTTAAAAGAAAAATGTATCTACCAGAAAAGTTATAACCTAAAATAAAAATAAAAATGAATATTACAATTCACATTCATGTATTTTGTATATTTTCAAAAACTTTTACGGAATAAATGTGTTTTAAAATTAATTGAAACAATAACTCTTACTAGATATTCTACAACTAATGACATAAAAAAAAAAAAAAAGGTTAACGAATCTCAGCTGATGGGATGGCATATTGATAGGCAGAAACAAAAGTAACAAAAGATCCTGAAAGGTAAAATATTCATTTGTGATATGGTGAATTGAAAGGTAAAATATTCAATTGTGATATGGTGAATAAATTCAAGCATTCGAATCAGTAGATACACAATAAATAGGCATCTACTTTTTTTTGCTTTTTACAATTTATTTTAATTTTGATATTGATCCTATAACTTATAAGTGATAATCTCAACATAATGGACTTTCAATAGAGGGATCAGGATCTTTAGTTTTGGAATAAAATTAAAAAAATGCAACTAAATAGACAGTGAACCCATTCAGAGACTCGAAGACATATATAAGGAATTTTAAAACCACCACATGATTACTTTTACATATGGTAACAAATAATTCATTTTATTTTCAATAATATAAATTCTATATTTTATATTTTAAGAAGACTTATACATATCTTTTAAAATAATTGGATAATATATACTTTTTACGTTCGTTTTTATTTATCCATTATAATAAAAATAGTTGTCTAACAATACTTGTTCAGTTTGAAAAATCAAGAGATAATTTACCATTTTATGTCTATTTTACCCTTGCTATTAAATAAGTATTATTCAATATTTAATTTATTTTTCAAAACCTTACATATATTCAAAGAGTAATATAGTAATATTACTTTTATTATTTATTATTTGTCAAATTAATAATGGGGAATTACTCCCTCCATCCTTATTTAATTGTCCACTTTAGAAATGACACACAGATTAAGGCAACAATGATTAGCATAGTGAAGTTACAATTTTACCCTTATAGTACAATTTATAATTCCAAAATAAATTCACTCAAGATAACTAATCAATGCTGGGAAGTTAATAAGTTTATTTACTTTATTTATGACAATTTTATTTAAATAAGGGTATAATAGAAAAAAATTTGTTGTCCTTTCTTGATTTGCCAAAATGTACAACTAAATAGGGACAACTTAAAGAGGAAATATGGACAACTAAATAGGAACGGAGGGAGTATTATTTTACAGATAAAATATTGTTTTCTCCATGAACAACTAATGTAGCACATTGATATTCATTCTTTCTTGGATTTGGTCATATTGGTAATGAAGTTCTTTTGATTTTAGTGCTTTGTTTGGCTTCTTCTTTCCTTCTTTTCTTCCTCGAGCAGCTGACTTTGTTTCCTCTACTTCCCCTCTAATCTCTATCCTATTGAAATTTGTAAAAATCTTAAAATTTTACATTCCTCTTTTTCCTTTTTCATGTTCCTTTTAAGGGGATTTAGGAAATAATGATGTGTCTTCTTTGTAACCTTGTACTATGCAAAAACTCATTCTTTTTAGGCATAATTAACTACACCCCACCAACTTCCCAAGATAATTCATCCCACATAAATTCAACTTAATTGAGTACTTTCTCTAGTCCAATAAAAATGAATGGTTGAGGAGTGATATATTCTTTAAAAAGATATTTAAAGACACTAATTAATATTTTTTTTGTTAATATTACTCTTTTGAATCTTCCAAAACTCTTTTTATTAGTAGAGATAGTCATTATTTGGGATTTACAAGTAGTTAAACATTCTATTAAAAAGAAGGATAATTTTGTCTTTAACTTTGAAAAAATCACACACACACACATATAAATTTGTATATACATACCTTGTGTGTATATTGGCAAGCAAAACTTACAAACGGGCAAGCGAAATATACAAATTGCAACCTCCATAACAAACAAAACTATAATTATGGAGCGCAATTACTGAAACTATAGTCATAGCGTCTTATTATGCCTAAAATTTTCTCATTAATTAAATACTAAAGTTTAAACAAATATATGATTTAGAACTCATCATTTTAAAAATTAGATGAGTTCAAATTCAATCTAAGAACTTTAAAGATGGTATTGACTCAAATTTAGGTTATGGATCCACTTTTGACCCTACAATAAGAAAATGTTAGCATATGAAATAAAAAAGAAAAGAAAAATCAAGACATGGAATTTTAGAATTACTAAATCAAGAATGAATATATGTAACACTTCAAAAATAAATGGATAACTATTTTTAATAAACGATTCTTGTTATGAAAAGTTGTACATCATGTAAAGCACTTAGTACACCATTTTGGTCATAGAAATTTCAAAAATATTCATGCATTAGAAATGTTACTTCTAAATTTTTTGTTTGATCCGCCAGATGTAGCTTTAGTTACCTTTTTTAAGAAAAGCAAAATCAAAAGCTGATTAGAAAAATCGATATTCTGAAGCTGATAAGTAGAATTTAATCTCAAAAATGAATTTTCACTTGACGGGGATTTTATTACTTTGAAGAAAAGAAGGTTTACTTCTTGGTAAGTTTAATTAATTTGATGGAAAAAAAAAGTAATGAAGATTAGGTTCTCTGAATTAAAAGCTTAATATGGTGGTACAATGTATAATTGCTCCCTTGGCACCTTACAATGAACAAACCCACATGATGTTTGAAGTAGTCCATTTGATTAACTGGCCCTTGGGACCCATCAATCAGTTTTTTTAAAGTTTTTTTTTTTTTGATACAGTAGTTATTGTGTATTTGTTCTGAATTTCTTATTATAGTTTTCCTTTTAAGTCTTCATATTTAGCTAGTCTTTTTCTTATAAGAAAAAGTTTCAGAATATAAATAGAAATTTGTTCCTTCTAATATAATAGCATTTACAATATAGTTCTAGGGGCTTCGATAGTTTTGTCTAGGGGGAGAATTTGTGGGGCACAAGTGATAAGATATTACTTGTGTGAACCTCTTTCTATTTCGAGTGAATTGGGTGAGGTTATTTCTCTCTATATTTTGTACTCTCATATTTATATAGTGGATTGCTCATCTCATTTGTGGATGTAGACCGATTGACCGAACCAAGTTAAATATTTGTGTCTTTGGGTATATTTTTTGTTTGTCTTCTTACTCGTGATTTATCGAAGTTTGTTTTGTTAGCTTCCGCATGACACCTAATTATTTCGACCCTAACACTAGTTCCATCTTTTATTTGTTCAAAATTTATTTGATATTGCTAGGTTGGTATGAATCGAATCCATGACCTAGCAAGCACTCAATATTTTCTCACTTTATACTGTTGAAAAAGAAACTAAGTTGACCTAAGCATTACTTAAATCATTATTTTTTTATAAAAAAAAACTTATATCAATATTACGCTTAGATAAGCATTACTTAAATCAAAATAAACCTTATATAAATATTACCCTAATCACTACTCCATAAGGTAACTATGAAAGATAACTTTTTGAAAAAAATAATAAAAAGGAAATTACATTTACAAAGGAATACGTTAACAAAAGATTTGATTATTCTTTTGATCGGAAAAAAACTCAAATAAATGTATATTTATGTCATATGTTAAAAGTTTGGTCCATTTATGTCATTTTTGTTTTGAGAAAATGCTCATTTATGTCATTTTCTTTTGAGAAAATGCTCATTTTTATGTCATTTTCGTACAAAAAAAAACCTTTTATGCCATTATTGTTAACTGAAACAATATAAATGAGTCAAATTTTTAACTAATGACATAGATGAATCTTTTGTTAAAATTCATTTTTTTTCTTTAAAACTTTATTTAAATTATTTATGGCTAATAAGTGCATAGACTAAACGATATAGAGTAGAAGTAGCTAGGGTGGTTAGGGTGGGACCAGAAAATCTTCACAAAGTATATTGAGGTTGATATATTATTTAATTCTTTTTTCTTTTATAAATGTAATGTTTAATTGGGAATAATAAAAATAATAATACTACTTTAATAAATAGACAAAATAGGTGCTCGTGGGTTTTTGGAGAATGGGATTTATAGTTTGGAGGATGTTGGTCTTTTGAGATATTATTGGAAAGTGAATTAAGAACAATGGTCCATTATTTAAGGCCATTCATTTGGGTTTTGTTGGGCAGACCACACACATCTAATTATACCATAGGATGAGATTGTCCTTTCACTCTTCTTAATATATTCAGAGGCGAAGTCAGGATGAAGTGTTAGTATATAAATATTTTTACGATTCCTTTTTTACTTCCGAATCACAATTAATTTTGTTAAGGGGTTCATATGTTAATATACATCTATATTTATTTAATTAATTTTTATATAAATACATGGTCTATAAAAATCCTATCGGAT